CAAACTCTGAAGAACAAAGTGAAAAAGAGTGATATGCTTTTTAAACATGTTATTGGCTTAAAAAGTTATAGTATCAAAAATCGATTCACTATATTTTCCATTATTTCACTAAGGCTAACGCAGATTAACTGATTTAAATATTATAAAGATGACTTTTCTTAAAGTTCAAGATCAGATGTTTTAAAAATACTTATGTAGTCATCAACAGTTCTTTTAAAAATTGCCATTGAATAAAATGAGAAATTTGAATGGTACGGACACTTTCAGTAGAAAGAACTGTAAATCTACTAAATTTAAGTTCTAAAATTTTGGATCTAGAATTTAGATTTAATAAGAATATTAAATATTCATATTTATTATCATATTCAGGAAAATTATGTTTCTAGGTAGAAGGAGGTTTGTTCAAGTTACATGAGAAATTTAGTACAAGGAAAAGAGCTTTAGAGCATCCTAATTCCAGAATGTGTACTTTGGAATAAAGTTCTTGGTTGGACTTTGTTCTCCATCTATGTGATTGACATCCAAGAACACAAACAAAAATAAACATCAATATCACAGTCAATATGAATGTTCTGCTTATTCCCTATTATAACTTAATATCTGGCTGATATTTTTTGAACCGTGAGATCATTCTTAATACACTGACATAATCTTACCCACTATTCCATACTCTTGTTCTGTAAACCTGTTCTGTGAAGGGCCGGTTGTGCATATCTCAGGCTGTGCCTTCTCTGTCTCTGCTCTGTCTACTCAACTGAGCCACCATAGCTCTGAAGAGGCCATGGAAAACACCAGAACAAGTGTGTATGTCTATGTTCCAAATGGACTACAGAGACTGAAATTTTCAATTTCATGTCATTTCCATTTGTTGCAAAGTATTATTCTCTTTTTTATTTCATCTAACATTTAAGTATGCAAATTCATTCTTAGCTTATGTGCTATATACAAAGGTTGGTTAGGGATCAGATTGATCCATGGCTTTTTTTTTTTTTTTCTACAGGCAAAACAGTCATATTGGTGAATAGAGGGGTATGGTTAGAAATCTCAGTAAGGTCTTTTATCAAAAATAATATCTTTCTACAAATTTAAGACTCGTTTTTTTCTTGGTAAGTAAGTAGACTATGGATGAGAGAGACTCACTCATGTAACACACAGGATACCCCAGGCATTTTTTAGATACATTGTAAGCAAGCAAGCCTATATAGTTACCATAATCTGTAAGGTAGGAAGGCTAATAAAAAGGGGCTAACTAATGCTATGGTTAAAGTGTCCTTATTGCGGGAGAAAACTAGCTATGGAAGGGCAGGGTGACTTTGCTACCTAAATGAGCTCTTCTGCATAGCATAGCTTGTTTCTCCTCCTCTCTTGTTCTCTTTCTGTCTTGCTCCTCTCCATGTGATACCCTCAGCAGGCTAAGAACAGCAATAAGTCCTTCACCAATCCTTTCCTCTCTGATCTTGGACTTTCCAGCCTCCAGAACTATGAGAAATACAATTTCCATTCTTTATAAAGTCCCTAGTATTCTGTTATAGCAGCACAAAATGAATTAAAGACAACTCACTCATCCAAAAACACACAAATATTAGTTGGTTGACCCTAGAGTTCTAGTGTATTCTGAAGCCCAGGTTCTTTCCACTTAACCACATTACAACAAAGTTCATGTTAAATAAATAAAATGTATGCAATTTGATTTCCCAGCAATGTATGATAGTCCTTCAAACAAGCTGAGATCGATTAGTGGTGACAGCATTTCAGATACCATTATGCAGAAGGGCTGCTGAGAAATTCCCCTGGAAAGAATATAAAAGCTCAGGGAAAAGGATGAAAGGACGCACTTAGCCAAATCACCTCCATAAAGCTTGACTTGTCCTTTTATGTTCAAGGAGCTGAGGACTGCAGGGTGGTCTGAGTGCAAAACTGCTGCCGACCCCAGTTGAAAAGCTCTGTTTAGAATGAAGGAATCCTCTGCACTTCTGCAAGGCCTTGTTTATGAAAGCAGAGATCGCTGTTTTAGGAAACGGCAAAAACTTGCATTTCCTTAGATTTGCTGGCTCTGCAAAACATTGTGCACAGCTGTACTCAAATCCATTAGCTCAACCTTTCAGAAATTCTCTCACAGAAATTGCTTAGAGGTACATGGGCTGACAGTTGCTATGTGTTTTGAGAGCTTTTACCTGCCGGAAGCCGGCTCAGCAATCCTTTGCTTAATTGGTCTGTAGAGACTGGTCATTTTAGAGAGAGAAGTTCCACACCTCAGAGAGAATGACATCTACCTTAGCTCATAATCAACTAATTTAGAGAATGGGAATAGGGCTAGCTCTGGGGTTCACTTACCCTCCGCCCTCTGTTGAGATGGGTGTGAGGGCTGCACAAAGAACATCATGCAATGTAAAATTAGGCAGACATTGGAAACAGAGTAAAACAGTTTCCAAAGTATATAAAAGTCATCACCTTAAATCTAGGCAGTCACCTCTGATCACATCCAAATTTTAAAATTCAAAACTGAATATCTGATTTGGATTGCAAGTTACTGAATTGTGGTATTCGACCTCTCAGTCATAGTGTTGTTTATCACACAGGGTGATTTTCCTAAAATCAATGAATTCTAGTGGTAGAAAATGATCAAATGGACAGAGCAGCTGGACCTTGGATGATAAGGGTGTGCCAGACAGTGCTTAGGGAACAGAAAAGAAAAAGACATTCTTACTCACTCATCCTGTACTAAGAAGGTGTTTAGCCTACTGGTTAAAAGCTTACAGCGTGGTACATGAGAGCACTGAGCCAGGTCCCTCTCCTGCCACCTCCTAACAATGTAACTTTGGGCAATTTAAACAATTTGTACTTCTATTTCTTTAGCTTGAGAATCAAATGCAATTGAACTGTCTTTCATCCTTATCCTTAAACCTTTAAAATGTAACATTTAAATCTTACTATTTTGAATTAAAACTAAAAGATTACTTCAAAGCATCCTGGTAGCAAATCGTTAAGATATGCCAAGATGATTGATACAATTATAATTTCTCTTGAAAGTTATAAAAAGTTTCTATCCCTCACTAGATTAATGACTCAAAAATCATTACATTATTCACTCTTATCTTTCAAGGAACACTTTCTTTGAAAAATACAATCGATATAAATGAAAAACTTTCATAAAAATAAATACCAATGAGAACTGTGTAAAATGTGTAACTGATTGTTTACTTCAATTCTCATTTTAGAAAATATTATTAAAGCAAGTTAAAGCCATAAAAAGACACTCAGAGAGCTAAGTCATGGTCTTTATAAATTGAGCTGGAACCATTAAAAATTGATATGGCCAGATATATTTATGAACTTATAGCACATAATAGCATAAGGATGACCATCATTTCAGATTAATGATGTAGCCAAAACTAATGCAATATAATAGAGCAAATACAAAATGGGAAAACTAAGGACATTTACTTTTAAGCTGGACATCTGAGCATTTAAAAGGGAGAACAGGTGGCTTAGAAAAATAGCTGGGATATTGCTTAATTAGCATACTAGCTTCTTTATATTTCATCATATTTAAAAATAAGAAAGATTAAGAGTTATAACAAAATATTCTACAGTTTGAGTTAAATTCTACAGACAATTTTTTAAAAATTAATTCTTTGCAAAATATGTATAAACTTGAATATTTGGTATATTGGCCTGATGTTATCAGATATAAAATCATGTTATAACATTATAAAATAAAAAAGCTCAAAACTATATTTTCAAATTTACTTAATAATTTAATAAATGGTTCTCATTAGAAATTCTTAAATGAGTGACAGAATGTCTTAATAAACATTATATTTAGATTAAAATATTAACAAACCATTAATCCTTGCAAAGCAAAAATTGTAAAAATGTGACATAGGCAGGGAAGGTTTTACTCAAAGTTATTGCAATGCAGGACAGAATGGGTGGACACAAGCAAGCCATCTGCATTTTCTACTTGGCCTTATCAATAGGAAAAGCAAGCTGCATAACTGCAGGTAGTTTTACAGCTCAGAAGAGGGGACCCACTCATGTCAGGCTCCTCGGCTCCCATAGAGACCAGTCTGTGAGTGTGTCCTCTCCTTGGTGATTACAGGTCTCTGAGATAAACAATCTTACCTTGTAAAACTGGAAGGAGACTTTTATAAAGACTTATATCTCCAAGGACCAGAGTTAGAAATCACAGCTGTAAGTATTCTAAGGAAAAAAATGTTCCAAGGAAAGGGAGGTGGGACACTGTCAGAAGCTACTCTTAAGTTTGTTCAAACTGATGAAAACATGAAGCCCTTATTTATAGTTCCCATAGTAAGAAAGTGACAATTCTTTTCTTCAGGAATCCCTTTTCGCTCAAGAGATAGGTACACTGTTAGGAAAGAGACTGTAAATTATAAATTGATAGAAACTCTGAACTGAATCAGAGAATGAAAGAAGACAGAAATGCAGTTTGTAAAGAAGGCTTGTCAGAGACAGGTTCATATGGCCTCCAGAGGTCAGTTCTGAACGCAAAGGCACTAGGTAGCTCAGTCAATTAGAGTAATTAATGGCTAAGAAGATGAAAAATATTGGAGGCAGTAGATAAAGCAGAGATAGGTAAATGTGAAAGTAGATCTGAAAGTTAAGCATTCTATTATCTGCAAACCCCCTTGGAATGATTTTTGTGTTTAAATAATGGTAGTTATTATTAAAATTTGTGACTTTTTAGGAAATTCTATGGGTTACACTCATCCATGGAATTGTCCAGAACTTAGTTGATCATTTACTTACTGAGAAGCATTTAATGTTGTAATGACTGACATGTCACTTTTGTCAGCTTCTCTTTCTGGACCTCCCACTGGCTTCTCACCACCCCAACCCTAGAATTTATGAGAGCTAGAGTGAAAAGGAAGTTACCCAGTACCATGTAAGTGCACTTGTCAAATTCCCACAGTGAATCTGCTTCCCAAACTAGCTGCAACTCAGAATGATATTTGGGATTTGCAGTGACCCAGACTTACCTTGGATGTCTGAACTAGGATGTCTTAGTTAAGCCAAAGAGTTACTTATTTTTTTCAAATCTCCCAAGGAAACCAGGCAAGTCACCTTTTCCAATTCAGAATTTGAGAACAACAGTGGTAGTCCATCTAATTCCTCTGAACCATGGAGAAAAAAGTAACTAAGAACTGGGGACTGGAAGGAAATGTTTCTTGTGCCCAAATCAAATTCCCTTAAGACACTCGAGATTCTAACAGTAAGTGAACTCACTGTTAGGAGCTCAGCAATCCTATCTTCTAACAGAGACACTATGTGAAGGGTCATTGAAAGAACACTGGAAATCCTTTAAAAAGATGTTCAAGGCATTATATAATCTCTGTTCTATCCTTCAACTTAAATGATCCCTGATCTTTGACTGTACTCTGTCAGATCCTTAATCCTTCACAGCCAAAGCCAATTGACCTTCTGATAATGAATTGGACTACAAGTAGTTTAATAAACTGTAATGCTCAGGAAGGTCAATCTGGTAGGTTACAAGAGGAACCACACTACTAAAATGTATGTACTCTATTACTTTGCACAAATAAACTCACATTAAAAAAACTTAGAGTGGAAAAAGGTATAAAGTCAGCTATACTAGAGATTATTTTCCTTTTAATATAAAAAATAATGAAGGTGATATGTCCCAAGTGAGAATATTTTATGAAAAATGTTTAAACTCAATATTTTTTTTATATTTTATTATTATCAGATATTCCTTTACCAACCCTAAGCAAGCTTTTAGAATTCTGGTAATCTATGTGTTTTATAACTATGCTAATCAAGCTATGTTTTATAAACCAAGTGCAGTGCTGTAAAATAAATTAAATATTTAGAATTAAATGTAAGTGAAAAATGATCATTTTTTTCTATTAAAGTTAAGAATAAAAAATTAAGCTTATATGTATATTAATTTTATATTGCTAATAAGTTTTTACTGTGCATTACAAAAGTGTTATGGCATGATAGGTTAGAAAAAAAATGGATATTTCAAGATGTTTGGGCTGGGGGTATATATCTGTGGTACATTGTTAATCTAGCATCTGTGAGGATTTAATCCCTTCACTAGGAGGAAAAAAGGTACTTGAAAAAAAATATTTCTCTATGCTGGATGTGGTGGTGCACGCCTGTAATCCCAGCAATTTGGGAGAATAAGACAGGAGGATCTCAAGTTCAAAGTCAGCCTCAACAACTTAATGAGGCACTTAGCCAGTGAGACTCTGTCTCTAAATAAAGTATAAAAAAAAAAAAGTTGGAGATGTGGCTCAGTGGTTAAGCGCCCCTTGGTTCAATCCTCATTACCCAAACAAACAAAAAAACACCACATTTCTCTCTAGAATGCTATGTAAAATGCTAGAGAAACTCCAGATTAAATAAAAAGAAACAAGTTTATTTGCTGTATGACACTTCAGAACCCTTAAAACTGAAATGCACAGTGTTAAAGCTCCAGGTGAAGTGGAGAACAAATTGTTCCCAAATGTTTTTTTAACACAGATTTTTTTTTCCTTACACATCACATGATCTCATGGAACTAGAATTACTCAGAACCCAGGGGAATTACTCTTTCAGCAATAATGGACAGATGCCTGGTAAAGGGAAATTTAGGCAATACATAGATATGCAATAATCATCTTCCAGACATTTCCTAAGTAATTCATTTTCTAAGAGAATAAACTACATACTGCTAAAGATTCTATTCCATTAACTAAACCAGGAGTCAGATTATGTACATATTTAAAAACCTGGTTTCTCTATTCCTTTAAATTCAGTGAATTATTGTGGACTGACTATGCTATTTTCTAATCTGAAACAACATGTATTCCAAGATCAGCAATTGAAGCAATAACCTCCCTCATTCCTTCCCTAAGGCCCAATTCTTAATGCAAACTATTCTGGGTTTTACTTCAAGGCAGTTTTGTGTGCAAAATATTTGGAAATGAAGTTTCTTTGTCTTTTAGAGCTTTCAAGAATTCTAGAATATGATAAATTACATATATTTTTTTCATGAAGAGACTAGAAACAAACTGACTTTAATATATTTCATACATTTACTAAAATTGAAATAAAGATGTTACATTATGTAAGCAAAAGCTGAAGCACGGAAGGGCCAGAAGGTACTTTTCATCTCAGAAAAACTGTCTAGAGAACCTGCTTGTTTATTTTGTTCATCTTCCTGTTAACTCCCAGTGAACCAAAAAACTTCACATTTCTATCTTAAGGCCTAGTTTTTTAGAGAGTTTACCATGATTCTTGCCAAGGTGATGCTGCCTTGGTCTATTCAGTTTACTATAATAAAGTGCCATCACTAGATATCTTATAAATATATTACAGTTCTGAAACTGGAAGCATGAGATCAAGGTTATGGTCAGGTTCTGGTGAGGGCTTTTCTGGATTACAGACCACCCTTATTCTGTTGTATTAGCATGTGATGGAAAGAAAACAAGAGTGTTTGCTGGACTTCCTTTGCTAAGGGCAGTAGTTAAATTTATGAAATTTCCACACTCTTTACCTAGTCACTTCCCAAAGTTCCTACCTCCAAGTAATATCACTTTGGATATTAAGAATTCAACAGATGAACTTGGAGAAATATGTAATCCATTTTACTGATGAAATGTCAAATCTTTGAAATTGTGACACTTGGTTACCAAGATAATTGTTTTAACACAGACAGAACAAATTTTTCAGAGCACCTAAAATGGTATGTGGCAAAATGTTAGTTATGGAATTTGACACATTTAATATGAGAAAAAAATAAAGCATAAATAAAAGCAGGAAAATTATGGTTAATATGCATTAAAAGTGAATGTTATCATTGTGTCTGTAACCCTCCAGGATTTGGTAGACCTGATAGATTATAGTACCCTGCGGTTATTTCACAAAAGAGCTTGAAGTGAAAAATTAAAATATGAACAGGATTGAGAAAATGAGGTTTCTGTTTGTCTGTTTTCGGCAGTCCTGAGGATTGAATCCAGGGCCTTCTGTATGCTAGACAAGCAGTCTACCAACTGAGCTACATTCCCAGCCCCTGAGAAAATTAGTATTTTAAGCAGGGATAATACATATCAAAGTATGGAGGAAATGGCATGTTTGAATGAATAAGTGAAGACTAAAACTTGCAAGAAGATTTATGACTGAATTTTTATATACATCCACATTGAATCAGTGAGAATTATGTATGTTTATTCCATAAGGGAAGCTAAAAATTAGAAGTAAGAACACTCTAGAATAGTGAAATGAAAAACTACAAATGAAACTAAAGGTGAAATTGTGGGATAAAATTGTAATAACACAAGAGGTGATAGTACAAAAATAAGAAAGGCATCCATTTTTTATATATATATATATATTATCTTTAGTTTCAGTTGAACACAATACCTTTATTTTCACATAGTGTTGAGGATCGAACCCAAGTCCTCAAACGTGCTAGGTGAGCACTCTACAGTTTAGCCATAATCCTGACCCCATGTTTTAAAAATAAATATATCTCTAAAATCTTAAATTTAATAATTTTCTGTAAATATTTTAAGCAACATTGGGACAGTTTATATGTCCTTGTTTCTTTTGTTTAACAATTATTTAATAGAAAACAATGATCATAGACTGAGAAGTAATTCTTTACATGGCCGTGAAATCTTGGGATTACAGTAAATACAATTTATATGTCCTTGTTTCTTTTGTTTAACAATTATTGGCCTTACTCTTTTCTAAGCAATGCTGAGAGCAACAAAAATTAACTAAGACACTTACTGTAAGAAATACCTACTCTGAAGAGGTGAGGCTCCATAATAATTGTATTAAATCAGTTTTCTATACTGTAAGAAAATGCCAGAGATAAGCAAATTAAAAAGAGAAAAAGTTTTTTGATTCATGACTTCAGAGATTTCATTACATGGTTGGTAGGCACTATTGCTTTGGACTAGTTAGCCCACAACTTTGTGTCAGGTAGCACAGACTAGTGCACTGAGTAGTGAAGATGGAAACCAAGCAGCCAGGAAGCAGAGAGAAGAGGGATGGGGATTCCAATATCCTCTTCAAAGACATGCTCTATTTCCCAAATTCCACCACCTCCCATTGATGCCAGGGGCTGGCAACCAAACCTTTAATATATCGGCCTTGGGGGATGTCCAAATCATAACAACAACCAGACGGCCTATGTTATTATAGCTCCCTTCAAGACTGTTGCTTGCTATGCCTATTATCCAAAACCAATAGTGTCACAATAGTAATCCAATCGTTTTCTAACCCTTTAACACTCACCTCAAAATCCCTTAATTCAAGCACTGAGTCCTAACACAACCATGCCCAATTTTCCACCTTGAGATACTTCTAAGGGCCTTGACAATGTACTATTGTTCTGCACTGTAGTGTTCTGATATATTACTCTGTGTTTCACCAACATGTTTTTCTGTTGATTTTTGGGGGAGTAAAAAACTGATTGCTAATGAAGGAAGGTGGTAAGAACTTTCATTTATTCACTGAATTAATATTTACAGGGTGACTACACTATGCCAGGGTAGACAGAGTATGTTGAGGCAAATCTATTCTCTCATGAACAGACTGGAATTGAAAACTAATCATGAGAAAGTAAATAGGTATACAAAGAAGATGATTGTTGTAAGTGCTAGAGAAAAAAAAAAAATGAAAGGGAGTAATGAGACAGATTACTTATTGGACCTAATCAGTATTTGTAGTACAGAAAGGGTTCTTTGGAGAGATGATATTTGAGAGGTAATAACAAGCCAAAGAAGATTAAAATAAAACAAATAAATAAAAATATGCTGCAATTGCAGATTCTTTGTTTGATCAAAAAATCCTACTGTGATGTCAATGAAGCAGAAGGAGGAGAGGAAAAGGGAGAAGTAAAATACATTGCATGAATGTGCCAACTCCTTTATGAGCATTTTCCTTTTATACTTTGAACATCCCCTGGGAAGTAGTACTATTAGCATTTCCACCCCATAAAAGAGATGAAGGAAGTTGGTAGAGTTTAGTAATTAACAAAGTTATATAATTAGTGAATGGTGGAACTCATTCCCCAGTGCTGCCTAAATTAAAAGCCTACATTTCTATATACTGTAATCCCAAGATTTCACGGCCATGTAAAGAATTACTTCTCAGTCTATGATCATTGTTT